AGGAAGGGAGGGAGGAAGGAAGGGAGGGAGGGAGGGAGGAAGGGAGGGAGGGAGGGAGGAAAGTAGGCAGGAAGGACAAGACGCTCCTTCCTTGGAGCATCCAGTCTCCCAGGACTCTCTGTGTTCTCTTTCGGGTAAGAGAATTGGCTTGCAGCGGGAGCTGGGAATCATAGCAAGAGGGAGGTGGCAATCACAGCTCACCTTTGAAGAAGATGAAGTTCAGGAGAGCCACGAGTGTGTCCTGAGAGAAGGCTTGCAAGCTGTTGGAAACCAGCCCGTACGTTTGCTTTCTGACGTATTCGTTGAGCTCCTTCCCCATCGCTGTGGAATCTGAGAAGTTGGCCAAGAAAGCGTAGGCACTATACAGCTCCTTGGCACTGTCCAGAAATCTCTGCTGAGGTTTGAGTTGTTTGTCCAGGAAAAGGGAGGTGCCGAGTTTCAGTTCAAGTTTGGGGCTGGGCAGGCCCAGGCTGTGGAGGAGGCTCTGGAAGCCACGGTGGAGATCGGCTTCCGGTGTCTCCGTGAGGTTGAAGCCCAGGCCCTCCAGAACCTGAGTTGAGGTGTTAGCTTGGGTCCCAAGAGAGAGCAGAGCCAGGGTGGTGGAGATGCTCACTGGAGAGAAGAAGATGTTTCCAGGGCTCTCTGCTGCCAGCTGCTTATATAAACGCAGACCAAAATTGGTGATGGTGGGTGTGATCGTCTGGTAGGCTGGGACAGGCTCTGAGAGCGGGCCACTGGGTCCTCGAGGAACCTCCAGCCTCTTATCTCCATGTTCAGAAAAGTGCTGGCAGTGAACGCAGGCCAGGGCCCCTGTTCCTAGCAGCCAAAGCCAAGCTGGCCCCATCCTCTGAAAACAAGAGGGCAAACATGGCATTCTCCTGCAGAAATACTCTATGATTCCCCACTACCAACACGAAACATCCCACCATCCGTCGTGTGCCCACAGGGGTGCCATGGGTGGGGAACTTGCAGAGGACAAAGTGGTGCGTGAGCGGTAGGACTCCGGACCCTTTCCCCAAAGCTTCACTTAAATCTTCACCCCTTTTTCAGCGTAGCGTGTTGATAAGCACACAAGATATGGCTGAGTAAAAGATTCTGGGTGGGTACAACCTCCTTGCATTGGTTTTTCCCTCTTTCCCATCTATCTTTACTTCTATCTCCCTCCCTTCTGATTATCCTCCCTCCCCTTCTTCCCTACAGGAAGGCATGACCATGGAGAGGCATGGTCAGCTCTATTTAATAAATGGGAAACAGGAGTGTTGCCAGAGGAAATCACTTGCTCCTCCCACTCCTCATTAGTTCATCTTCATTTCCTATCATTCCTCCCCAGCTCATTCCATTTCAAGGATCTATCCGGTCCAGGGACCACAGGAAGCCCTCGATACACAGTGGCAGAAGGAGGTGAACATACTCTCTTGACCTCATGGTCACGGAACTTAGAGTGCAGTTGAGAATGACACTCAACAGCTCAATAAGCTGCAACATGGGGAGGATGCTAAGGAGCAAACTTAGGGCACCATGATGGCGAATGACGCCGGGCTCTCTTCCGGCTAGGTGTGGTCATGTGATGATGCTCTGGATAACTAGGAAGCAGGGTGAAGGGCACCAGTTCAAGAGGGAGGAGTGCCATCCTGCCTGTGGAGGGAGGCTGTGATGGTTGGCCACTGGCCGTGCCATGCTGATGAGGGACAAAGGAGTGGCAAAGTGTAGGGCTGTTGGGGCTCGGGAGTCGTAAGAGCCATGGCTCTGTCTCCATCCACTCTCTGTTCATGGACTAGCTCTTGTCACAGACAGTGATGGAAAACTGAATCCCAATGGACACAGGGGCTTGTTTCTTCAGCTAGTAAAAGTATGAGAAGGGATTGGTGTCCTCCTTGAGGGGTGGGAGGGAGCACAGAAGGCTTGGCTTCAGGCCACACATGTAGCTCTGGCTCTTGTGGGGGCAGTGTCTACTCTCCTGCTCTGCCCTCGTTGCCTTGCCCCATATCCCCGTGGCCTCCCAGGGACACAGCCACTTGGCCACAGAACCCTTTCTGACAATGATGTCCCCCTGCCCCTTTCAAAACTGGCCCTTTCCCTGTGCCACCTCCAGTCTCAGGCCACACTGACCTGTCGTCAGTATGTCCCAGTGACCATGGTGACTTCCCCGCTACCTTTTGCACTCGCTGCCCAGACTAGGGACCTTGGGATCAATCGAAGCCTTCTGGGAGAGATCTCATCCGTGGGTGCCCTGGGCTTATGGCTCCTGGTGCCCTCCACACTCCGCCAACCCACAAGGCAAGCTGTCACGAGGGACAGATGCCGCCCATGCTCTGTGATGTTGGTCAAAGTGCAGGGGTGATGTCCCAAGGCCACACACATCACCCCAGCCCAAGCCTGGAGGAGGAGCTCCTGCCCGGAGGAGGAGCACACCTGCTTTCTTTGGAAGAGGGATGTCGGAGCTGCAGAAGTGGGTTCAAGATGGACTTGTTCCTGGGTGAAATGCAAAAGGAGGCTGTGATGAAGCGAGTGCTTTGGGGTTCATTCTGTTTATTCCGTTGAACTCACCACCATGGTCCACCTGACCGCATCCCTAAGATTCCCAACCTTGCAGAAACAGGAATGAGCTGATTCCCCAAAGTAGGATGGAACTGTAAGTCCAGGACCTTGGAGGAGAATCAAGATTCTGCGGATAATTCACTACGCTGCCAGACCTCATCTAACTCAGGGTTCTCATTTCAAATGCAGGTGACCATATCTACTTGGTGGGGGCCCCTGTGATATATAACAACACGTGTGATATGTGTGTATTTTGTCCACAAGGCCCGGTGTAATTACACCCGTTTGTTTCTTTATTTCTTTTTCAGAAAGATCCCAGGGGAAGCTGATGGTCTCTGTTGACTCTTGTACCATCTCGCCTTTGCTAGGGATGTGTCTCTTGAGGCACATGAGTCGGAGCTGACTCAATGGCACCGAGCCTCCACCACAACCACCACGACACACGCGTAGGTCTCTCCGTGTGCCATGCTCTAGTGTTGCCCCGTTGCTTCTGACTCGCACAAACTCAATAGGGAAGAGCTGCCCCGTAGGGTTTCCAAAGGCGGAAATCTCAATGGAAATCGGCTGCCACCTTGAGCCAGGTCTATGAGAGAGTGTGTATCAGTGGTCCTCAACCAGAAGTGTTTGTCAGCACACACACACACACACACACACACACACACACACACACACACACGTGGGGAGGAGGGGAGAGGTGGTGGCAGGCGGATCATCTCCATGACTAAACAAGGAAGGGTCTACTGGAGGCTGGTGGGGGACGGCCGGGAAAGCAGAGGAAGACTCCGAGCAGTAACAGGCAAGGGGAAGAAACCTTGCTCAGTGCTCATTGGCCCCCGCTGGAAAATACTGTCACTGTCACTTGATCGGACCCTTCCAAGAACCTTGAGTGGTCCCTAGGGGGTGCAAACAGGGGAATGCCAGCCACTCACCAGAAGGTTGGAGGTTGGAGTGCACCCCAAGGTCATTTGGAGGAAGACCTAGAGATGGACTTCTAAGAAAAATCCACCACTGACCCCATGGAGTGCTCTTCTGCCCTGATACAAGGGCGCCGGAGCCCACTCACCCTCACCTGGCGCTACAAGAGCTCTTGTGGGACCCCCGTTTACAGGCCAGGGAATCTGACTCTTCAGGTCTACACAACACCTGGGGACGAGCAGGATTCGAACCCCAGATCAGGGCTCTTACGCCTGACTTTTTCATGACATCACGCTTCTACCGAGCTGGCTCCCACGCCACCCTTGTTTTTTCTCTGTGCTGGGTCATTCTGCCTGCCTGCCAAATGGGCAGGGATGGCTGGGGTTCTGCTCTCAAAGTCCTGAAGGGCCAACCTTCCCCCCAGAGGTCGCTGGTAGCCTGGAGCTCCTACGTCAGGTCTTGGAAGGGGAGCCTTGGTGTATTTTACCCTGTGAGGACTCACTTCTCCCAACCCAGGTCCCTAAGGCCAGACAGAGAGCGCGCGCGAATCAGCCCCTGCCCCTGCCTATGTCTCAGGCCCCAGGGATGCAGCCGGGTACTCACAGCAGGTCCTCACAGGGTCTTCTCAGGTCTCCAGCAACACATCGCCTTCCAAAACACGGAAATGGCGCTGAATGGTCCCAGCAGTCTGGTCAATATTTGTCAGGTCAATTCCTGGAACCAGTGTGCAGACAAGGACCAGCAAACAGGAAGGATTCCTGCCCCCACCCCATAGCTGCCCTGTCTGCCTGTCCTGCAAACCGAGCTGTGATTCTGATGCTGGTGACATGGAAGAGGTTCCCATGCTCTGGGCAGTTGCATGCTCCACACCTGTATTCTTCATCAATGAACCTCACAATTAAAACGCCGGGGAGGCATGCCATCACTGTAGGCCTGAAGGGTAACAGGAGCTCTGTGAAGTTACTTGCTCAGGAGAGGGGGGACAGGGGGACATCACTGGACGATGGAGCTGACCTTCACCATCAAACTTCACCACCATGGCCGTTACAAGGTTGGGTCGAAAATCAAGGCTCCAGGTCCCACACACAGTGATTTCTTTCTTCCCAACAGACGTGTTTGAACACGTCCCTGCGGCTGCTGGACAGCTGCAGATGAGTCCTCTCTGTCCTGTGCTTCCTCTGTTTCCTCAAGGTGCCTCTGAGGAAAAGGTCCGATCAAGACAGCACCTTCGAGAGGATGGGCTGGGTCAATTAAGTTCAAGGAAGGGAGGTTGGCTTCCAAAGTTGTGGTCATCCTTTTGTTTTTTTTTGAGATTCCCAAGGGGTCATATTCTTCCCCCTCCTCCTCCTGTACCCATCGTTACAGCTTTCCTGCAGGAAACAGAAAAATCCAGATGGAGAGACACCTAGGGTGAGATGTGGAAGGGTTCCCTCATCCCCCAAAGGGAAAGATTCCCCTCCCATATGTCTCTTACCCACCTCAAGGCCCCTGGAACACTGCTGTGGTGCCAGAAGAAGCCAGCTCCTAGCACAATCACTACGGGTTCAGTAGGCACAATTGTACAGCGATAATAAGTAAATATTATAGTAAAATTATAGAGAGCATGAGAGATAAAAGAGATATATAGAAATAAATGGAGTCAGACACATTTTATGGTAGCATTGCTCACCTCAGCCCCGCTTGGCAATTCACGTGGAGAGAGGGGAAGGGAAGGAGGGTAAGGGAACAAGGGAGAGGGGAGTGACCAGGGAGTGAGCAGCAAGGAGCTCAGAGTCAGAGAGATCTATATTGCTGACTCACGCCTATATACCTTTTGGGGGCATGCCAGCTCACTAATTACAGGTAGAGACAGGGAGGGGTTACATTATGGGGTACACAGTAATGAGAGGGTGGTCTAGGGGGTGGTCTCTGGGTCTCCATAGGAACCATTATCAGTAGGGTGCAAACCCCTCCTACAGAAACCAAGCTAATGGCCCCAAGCTTTAGAGAGAAGTAGTCCATTGTCTCCAGCAGCAGGAAGCAGGCCCAGTGCAGTCTGGCAACTGATTGTCCTCAGGGGGGGGGGAATGCATGCGCATCTGACCTCCCCCCACACTGTGGCCCGAGCCTTTCATGGGGCTGAATCACAGTCAGAGTGGAGTCAATCAACCCTCCCCTCCTGAGGCTGATTGACATCACCTAGTGTGCTCTGGGCTGGCTCACCACCACCGGAGGAGCCTTACTACCACGGACCCTCTGACGTGGTCTTGAAGGCTTATCAAAGACACTTCAATCAGAGCATATCCCAAGGATTTAAGATTCTCTCTCGAGAGCCGCGGACAAAGATCAACATGAGGGGAACGTCAGACCGTTGATTTCAGCCTGCCCTGCTACCCCTTCCACCCTCGCTTCTGACGACAGCTTGGAGAACTCCCAGAACTTTAAAAAGAAATCATGGTTTTTGGGTCTCAGGGAGTAAAATAATCCCATTCTTTTCAGGTAATCCGAAATCTCATTTGATCTTGATCAAAACCCCAATCTCCCAGCTGCTTCCGTGCGTCTCCTCTTTCCCTGTATCTCGAGTGTCCAAGAATGTATCCAGGCAGGCCAAGTTGGAGTCAGGAAGGTGGGAGTGGAGGAATTGGGGCTATTTGTCATGATCCTTGACCCTCTTTCACTTTCCACTTTTCTGTTATTGTTTTTTTCCCCCAGGACTACACTGGTTATCAGTGACTAACCCACCTGTATTGGAAGAGTGGCCAGAGTGCTCCCTAGAGGCAGGATGGTAAGACTGCATGCTGTAGACTTTGGACACGTGGTCGGAGACCGGTGCCTGCAGAAGGACATCCTGCTGGGTAAAGTGGGGGGGGCGGTGACAAGGAGGGAGGCCCTAAGGAGCGGCAGGCTCAGGCACTGGAAGAGTTGTGAGGAGAACACAGTGTGGGGTCATGAAGAGACTCCCCCACCCCTTGTCTCCCCCAAGTTATGCCAGACATTCGAGGCTCTTTGCCAGCACATGGTGGGAGGGTAGATGCATACAGCCTCCAGGCTGCTGTCTGGTCTACCACAGGTAGGGCCCGCTCCCTGCAAATGACAATGGGCTACTTCTCCCTAACTGCTCACAGCCATCAGTCTGGTCCCTGTAATTGGGGTTCACACCCTACTGATAATGGTTTCTACAGTGAGTCAGAGAACAGTCAAACTGGCTCAGTGACATCCAAAGTTAGGCTGCCATCCTGAATCTAGGATCCATCCATCTTTGCACACGTATACCCCCAATACCTCCCCTTCCTATTGCGTGGATACCCCTAGATTATCCCCCTCTCATTACTGTAGTACCTATAGCACAACCCCTTCCTGTGACGTATGTCTTTACCTGTAATTAGGGGGCGTGTATGCCCCCCAAAGATACATAAGCCTTGGTTAGCAATAAAGACTCTCCCTTGCCTCCCTCCCTCTCTCTCCCTCGCTCGCTCTTCCTCTCCCCCATCCTCACTCCCCTGTTCCCTTTCCCCTTGTCCTCCTCCCCCTCCCCCCCTCTCCTGCCCTCTGGTCTCCCATCTCCATGTGGACCACCAAGCGGGACTGAGGTGAGCATGCTACCATGAAACGTGTCTGACTCCATTATTTCCATCTCTCCTCTATCTCTCACGCGCTCTATGACTTTATGATAATCTCTCTCTCTCTCAACCATACAATTGTGCCTATCTAACCCACGGTTAGCTGTGGGGGGCTGGCCTTTCCCCCACAACACAGGACCCGAAGGGCTTCGCCGGGTTGTGTCTGGGGCTGTGATGGGTCGGTGCCTGACAACAACGACAACATCATGGAGAAGAGGTTGGGAAGGGGGGTGGGGGTGGCTTTTCTGATAATGCTGCTGTTGGTGCTTCTTTGATTCTTAGCTAATTCCCTGTCGTGGCATAGAGTCTTTGGGGGAGGGAGTGACTTAATTTTATTTTATGGTTTTAACTTTTTAATTGCGATATAGGTGAAGACTTGCAGAGCAGACCGTTTTTTCCATTCACCTGTTTATACACACCTGACTCACCTCGTCCATGGCAGTCCCCTCAACCTACCATCGATCAGCCAGCTTCCTCCCTGCGGTCCTTGTTTGCATGATGCCCTCTTCCCTCGCCCTCTGACCCTCGTCCTATAAGGTAAATGGTGCCCTGTTGACCTGAAGCGGCCCATTATGCTAACACAGAGGAGGAGCTCGGGTCCACATAGTTCTCCTTCTCGCTTCAGGCACTTCTAATGGGCTCCTTCCCACAGCTGTTGGTAAGGGTCCGACCAGCCGGCCACCAGCCAGTTCTTCCGGTCTGAGGGTTGTCAAGACTCCTGTTGGCATGGTCCCTTAGTCCATTGGACTCGTGGTCCCCAGGAGGAGAGACAAACACCTTGGATGGCTGCACACGAGCTTCAGAACCCAGTCACTGATCACCAAATTAGGAGGGAAAGCATCCTCTGTGTGCACTGTGTTGTCCCCGCTGCCTTTGGTGTCTCTCAGGACAATGGTCCGAAGACGTAACCTGCATAGATTCCCCCCCCCCCCCCCCAAGGGACATAGGATGGTAACAGGGACTTATCAGGCAAAAGGGTTCAGAAAAATTTAAACTATTTTGGTGAGGAAAGGCCTGGGATGGCACAGGCACCTGCTCTTTCTTCCAGGGTAGCAAGGGCTGCTCCAGGAGAATTCCTGTAGGAAACTGCCCGTCTACCCAAGAGCTCACACCTCACCTCCTCAGGCTTCTTTGTGCCCCCCAAACTCAAAGAAGGAACCCAGTTTGCGTCCTCTGTGGTGGCCCAAATCGCCACTTTTGACGGGATGTAAATCAAAGAGTTCAGGCTGGCCTGGGGAAGGGCTAGAGATCCAGAAACACCACCTTCGGCAGAAGAGTATGGAGCTCGATGGAGGAGGTGTGGAGCAACAATCGCTTCCCGTTTTGTTTAATACAACTCGCCCTCGTATGCCTCTGTCCCGGCGACGAGCCGTCTGACAAAGGAGTGCAAAACACAAGTCTACTCACCATAGCGTGAACTAACGAGATGCGTTCCTTGACAGATAAAGTTAACAGCAAAAGCAAACATGTGTACATGAAGCCCTGCACAACGCCACTAAGAGAAATGCTTTAAAAAAAAAAGCATTTATTGGGCTTGTGTGAATGTGCGCAGAACACATGGACTGCGTTCAACAGTGCAAACACGTGGACTGAAGGGTCCACAAGGTCGTCGTCGTAGCACTCCTCAGCCTTTCCTCCTGCGTTTGCTGTTTCCGGCCGCCCTCCCTCCGTCTTCTGAGCTTTCCCGGCCTCAGCACAGGCTGTCCCTTTGATCACGGGTGCTGATTGCTCTGAGGAATGCATAGTTTCCATACATCCTCACAGCGGCTCCACACAGCAGGGTCGGCCCAAGCGGACAGGTTCAGCAGAGCTTCCAGACTAAGGACAGACAACCAAGAAGGACCCGGCTCCGCCCTTTGGAGGAAGAAGCCGCTGCAAACCTTATGCACAGCTTGGAAATGCTTCCAAATACTGAAAGCCCAAACAAAGGAAGCAGAACCGTGTCACACCTACTGCCGGCAGATGGGCCCCTCAGGTCCAAAATGTGGCTGAAGGAGAGCTGACCCCCTGAAAGGGAGTTGGCCGTGATGCCTGTAGGAGTGGAGCCTTGGGATCTCCATTTGCTGAAGGGGCAGGGCT